CATGATATCCTTTTAGTTTGTTGCTGTTTAAACCTAGACTGCTTATTCTAAGAGCTATCCAAGCTATTTTTACTGGAGATATTATATAACTTGAATAATATTCACTTGACTCCACATCAGGTAGAAGTCCTTGTGTTATATTTGTGTTCAATTTGAGCAAGAAATAATTTTTGTTCACATTGCCTCCCTCTGCCCAGGAATGTGTCACATACAAAAGAAGACAGTGTTCTAGATAGTAAATTAATAATGTTGTAAGGGCACTTAACAAAGTAAAGGAAAAGGAGCCAGAGCAGGCAGCGATGGTGGGTTGGTTGAGGGTTGAAGGATTATACATGTATCTACATATAGAATGAAAACCTGGGGAGAAACTCCCAGAAGAATTAGGTGGCAGTGTGCAACCTGCTTCCCAAGACCTACACCCTATTTATGACCAAACTGCGTGATTTTCTCTACCTTACATGTGTATTTATGACCTGACCAAAAATTTGATACCCTACTCATGACCATTGAGGCTGACACAGTTGCCCTAAACATAGTTTATGAAGGGCTTTTGTTGAATGGTCTCATTGATAATGATGAAAAGGTAGCTTCTTCTAAAAAACATACCCAATTCAAGACTAGAGTGCAAAACCCATAACCTATTTATGACCAAAATAGCCAAAACGCACTACCCTAATAAATTAGTATGACCAAAATGCCTGAAAAACCATACCCTTTGGGCCACACATACCTATATAGCTCATATAGAGGAGTACCCACTCATTTGTGACCGTGAATGGGAAAACGTACCTCAATGTTTATCCGTCAAATGGTTGCTAACGGACAGATAGCTAACGGATAGTTAATGGCCTTTACAGCATTCTAAGGTTTTGTCCTAACGTTCTAACGGTTATCTAATTGTGCCTAACGGATCATCAAAGTGTTCTAACACTCTCTCCTAACGTTCTAACAGCTAACTAAGTATACCTAATGGTTGAAGAACACGTTCTGACGGTTGCACATTTTGTTCTAACGGATGACTGAAGCCGTTTAACGGTTGTCTAACGGTCTACAACTAAGGACATTTAATGGTTGTCTAACGGTTTACATCTAAGAGCTAAAAATTGAAAAACTGAGGCTGTGGATTTGCGAAAGATTACACTTTCTTGACAGAGCATGTGAAAAGCGGTACCTTTCAAAGTCACGAAGCTAGTCTTGAAGTGACGGGCGTTTTGTTGGTGTTGGTTTCATCTGATTCAGAGTCAGACAACAGTCTACCAAAATATTTATCAAGCTTTCCGCCAGAATATGGCCGTTTCTCACATCTTGGAAGATGTAAACAACTTTATGCAAATTTTTGAACCCGCATTTTGTGAATTGACACACGAGCACAAGTTCTTGACATGTGATCAGTGTTTACTTCACAGAACATCTTTATTCATCGCATGGCCATTTTGGCTGAGTTTTCTCTGTGTTTGTTTCTTCCGTTTATGGCATTTGCAAGGTATTTTTAAACTTTCGTTTGCTTATGCATTACAGTAACAAATTACAAGCTCTCAAAACAACCGGACTTTGCGGAATAAATAAAAGAGTTCATATAATGATGAGCGCTGTTGTGATTTTACATGTCGTTCCTGTTCTCAAAAGTGGCAAATGAGTTTTGTTTTGGATTGTGTAAAATAATTATAGTATGAAGGCTTTATTGAACTTCATTTAAGTTGTATTTATCAATCATCAAAAAATAATAATTGCAAAACTTCTCATTGAGAGATAACTATCTCTCATGATTGTTTTGAACTAAATGGAAGCCAAGAGCTGCTCTTGTTTCACACTACGTACCACTTTCTACTTCAACACGTGTTATGCCACTCTAATGGAATTGTTACCTGTTTAATGTATGCTAGTTTATTTTAACGGATCCTAACGACTTCTCTAGCCGTGCTAACAGATACAGAGTTTTTGCTAATGGTTATGCTGTCCCGTCTAATGGGCTAATGTTAATGGCCAATGGATACATGTCTCTTGCTAATGGTTGCACTCTCCGTTCTAACGGCCTGAAGCTAACGTCTAACAGTAGGGCTAACGCCTGTAACGTTTTTAAGAAAACTTTCTAACGGATGACTAACGGATGCTTAACGCTTTTGCTCATCTAACAGATAAGCGTTAAGGTACGTTTTCCCGTGCACGGTCACATTTTCCCCCGCAAGAATGAAAGGACAGAGGGATAATAGGGAATTCATCAACAAAAGCTAACTAGGATTAGCACTTTTCACAGCGGTTTCCTGTTGACGTTTTTTTGTTTGTCTGTATGGATGCTGATTATTCTCAAAGTCTGGAGAACATTAGCTCTGAAAACCTTTCATATGAAAGAATTATTTTTAAACTTTGATCAACATTTACTCCTGGATTAGTTAACAGCCCTGCTTTGCACTGACATGAGGAGTCATGCCAGAGCATGAGGAATCACTTGACTTTCAGCCTAAACAGAGGATGTCACTTGACTTTCAGCCTAAACAAGAAATGTACAGTCTGATGAACATGCTAAAATGAAACGTTTACAA